TATTAAGCAGTGTCACCCCAGTAAATTCAATTTAAAAAAATCATTAAATATTTTTTGACCTTGAGCAGTGTGTTGGGCAATGTGAGATAGAAAAGAAGCCTATGACATCACCTTTGCCTACTTTTGAGTTTATTCACATCTGACAGCTTTCTCTGTGGAGCCATTAAGTGGTTTCTATTCAAGTTCTAAAATATGTTTTATCTGGTATAATTATAAGAAAATAATAGCTAATATTCATTGAATTCACGTCTGTGTATCTACATATAACACAGTATTTTCACATAGTAGACATCCCAGTACATGAACGAATGAATGCCAGGTACTAGGCTGGGAGCTTTAATCACCTTTAGTAACCTGATTGAACCCCCTCAACAATTGTGAGTTAGACTAATATCATTTCCCCCAGTCTATAGATGAAGAAACTGAGATAATTTAAATAACCTCGCCCAAAGCCACAATTGTTAAATGTCAAACTTGGACAGGAATACGGGTGTGATTACAGTGTATGCCCATGGGAAGAAGAGCAGCAGAGGTTTGTCTTGGTGTAGAATTTATTGCTGGCTGTATGCTTCCTGGTTAGCCTAAGATATATGTCATCTGCAGACATTTTATTGTATTCAAGTAGTCAGCTTCTGTCAGCATCTGTCCCTCAGTTTCATAAGCAATCTTGTAAGTGGTGTTTGTTCATCTCAAATAGTATGAAATGGTGTCAAGGGGGAAAGCGGGCAGTTTGCCCCCAAATTTACCACCATGTTTGGTGGGAACAGCTTCTGTCCTCATCAGTGATTAAATATGCTCTCCTGATTTTAGAAAGCCATCTCTGCTTTCTCACTTGCCTTTGCAGAGAGTCATTAAGATCCCCTTGTCTTTGGATGCTCTTGCTCTACTGGGCAGGAGACCCAGGCAGAGAGAAACTCATTTGGCATAAGAATTAGGCAGCAGAGAAAACCTTGGCCAGTAGGAGTAACCTGTCACAACCTGGTTTCCTCTGGCCAAATGACAGATCTCGTCTAGTAGTAATGCTGTTACAACATTCCCCTTTAGATCCCCATGACCCAGTAATTGTTTTTGGAATGAGTGCAAAGCTCTCAGAGGCCAACAACTATAATTAGAAAAGGGAAAAGGACACTTAGCAGAGCTATGTCTTTAGACTGGAGTATTTACAGCACTCTTTTTTTTTTAGGGTTATGGAGCTTCTTTCTCACTTTTGCTGCTAAAATACAAATCACATAGTTTTTGTGTTCCAGTTTTTGTGTTCCAGTTTTTGTAATTGCAGTGTACGCACGCACGCACGCACGCGCGCACACACACACACACACACACACACACACAGAGTTTAATCGGAGTACAAATTGCTGTCAGCACACTGAGTTCATGTGCCAGCCACATTCAGAACAGGGTGTTCTGTGCTCTTCAAAACAAAATTGCTCTAGGGCAGTAAGAGAACAATAAGTCAGAGCTCCAGTTTCAGTGACGTTTTGCAGCAGACTGAGCTCACTTGCTGCGGTTACCCTCAGATTGCGTAGCTAAGCATGAGTAATTTGGTTTGGTTTGACTTCGTGGGGTTTGAAGAACCCCTTCCCTTAAGTTGCATAGACTTTAAGTCAAGAGAAAATGTTGTCTCTTTTTAACTTGTGTATTTCTTTCTCTACCTGAAAAGGCCTAAGTAGAAGCGTCCTGTATGTACTTTTCTTCTCTTTGGGCACGCCATAGATCATTTACTTCCCGTAAATTAAGCTAGTTGGAATTAGCAACAGAGCTCCTGAGCCCTAGAGGCTGAGCTCCCAGTGAGTCATGGTGGTTATTATTAAATATTTATTAAGTGAGTATTTGGCATTAATAGATGCAAGATCAGAAGCACCCACAGGTCTTCTACAGCCAGAGCTGCCATGGTTACCCTTAGCAGCAATCTCTGAGACAATTAAAAAAAATGGTAACTGGCCTTGTAGGAGCAAGGCACATCTGCCTCTGTGACCACGAAGGGGGTTCCCTACTGCATGGCAAAGGGCACATATTTGTATGGCTCCAAGGTGGTGTGTGAGTGCTTCTTAGGAGTCCTGTAGAACTTGTCACATCAGTGTTCCAAGTTTAGAAGCTAGTTAAGGAACTATAACCTTTGCTTCTTGTAGATACAGGAGTAAAGAATCAATGGGCTATATACTCCTTGATGCTATGATACCTCCTCTAGTCTGACAGATGCTGGTTGTATACTTACAAACAGGGGTGTATGTGAGCATGCACATCAATTTATTAGTTTCAGATTTTATGATACTGTACATAATGCTTGTTCAGTTCCAAGTTAGAAGAGTTAGATTTACCAGAAAAAAAGTTTTCTCCCTATTTAAGGTAGTAAATATTTATAAGAGTTACTACAATTATTTTTTACCTTCCTATTAGGTGGCCACAAACATTGGTTCTTAGAGCAGGTATAATGAGGTTTTTTTTTTTCCTTTCTTAATTATGCTTTTATTATCATTTGACTTGAACTTTTCTTTTTTTGCTTGCTTCACTTATCTTTCCCAACAAGTTTATTAGTAGCCAATCTTTTCCTAATATGGGATATCAGATGTGAAGAGAACTTCTGAAAATATTTATATAATTTTAATATCTACCTAATACATGCAACAAGCTCAAAACCAGTCTAGGAAACTGACACATAGGCAGGAACCCTCTGCTGTCTCTGGATTTCCTGTTGTGACAACACATTCAGACTTGATCACCAAAACCTAGAGTGAATGTGCTGATAGTTTTCTCTCCCACTAAATGTACTCTCCTTGAGGGAGGAAGGTACTCCTAACAATAAACTCAGACAAAAAGATTTGTCAACAAAGCTGTGAGCTACTAGGATAATAAATCTCAACACTTGAGGAATTCCAAGTACATGGGCTGAAATTCACTTTGTTCAGTCAGCGAATCTTTTTTTTACAAAAGATGTTATTTATTTTTAGAGTGAGGGGAAGGAAAGGAGACAGAGAGGGAGAAAAATATCAATCAGTTGCCTTCTCATACGAGCTCCAAACGGGGACTGAACCCACAACCCAGGTATGTGCCCTGACTGGGAATTGAACCAATGACCTTTTGCTTTGTGGAGTGATGCCCAGTCAACTGAACCACTCCAGTCAAGGCTCAGCAAATCTGTTTTCATGAAAAGTATCACCACATTAATCCAAATTAAATTTCTTGTGCATATTTAAAAATATTTAAAGCAAACTTTGCAAAATTTTCAGCTCCTTTAGAAACATTAGCATTTACTGTAGTGAAAATATCTTAAGCCTTAGACTCCCTGCTGAATATATCTAGTGCATGTATGTATTTATTTGAAAATAATGAAGTTGAGTTTATTTTGAAAATATTTTCCAATTCAAAAGAACTTTCAGTGTGCAAGTTAAGTTTTATTTTATCTAGAGCATTCCGAAAGTGAGACTAGAATCATCAGCATTTACACATGTGGGACAAAGAGCAGAAGTCCTATATGCCAGCTCCACCCTGAAAGGCCTTTTCTAGTTGGGCCACACTTCTTAGAGTTCATGCTATGTCTGCAATGGGAACAAGCCAGGATGGTACTAATCCTAGTGAGTTAAATGGCATAAATGTATGAGCTATCGTGGCTGCTAGTGTCTACATAACTGCTGGTTACTCCTGAGGGTTTCTCTAGTTTCTCAGACCCAGGCTAAAAGTAACCAATCAAACAATTAACTACAGGCATTACCTTTGAAACTGGTTTTTGGTCTATTGAGAGTTGTATTACTGGGTCATAGAATCAGAATTTTAGAGTTTCAAAGGACCTTTGAGATCATGTAGTTCAAAAGTAGAGTAAGTTAGAATTGAATTTGTATTTGGAAAATAATTATCTCATGGAAAGAGTATAACAGAACAAGTATTTTTGTTTTTTAGTTTCTCTAAAGCAAGCTATTGATCTTAAAGTAGAGCACTCAGTCCAAAAATATAAACATTTTAGGAAGTTGTTACATTTGAATCTCAGCCATGATATTTCAGAAGCAGAAGTAAAGTATTTTCTTATGAAAGACAAATTATTGTTGCTGTATTATTATTCAAACAATTCAGTTTTCTTATTGAGTCAAAGACCTATATGGTAAGGAATGAATAATAACCCTTATTATAAAAGTGGTTGAAAGTTTCAGAGACTTGTTTATCCTAGGAAAAAAATTCTAATCAATCAAAAAAAATATATGTATGCATGTTTCTTAATTTGCCTTGAAAAAACACGAAAGCCCCTTATCCAATATGAAGTTACCCTGGAACTGAGCTAAGTGAGTTTGAGTGGAGCAGGGAATTAGGTCCCCAGAAATTGATCTCTTCACTTAATATTTTAGAGGTGATGATTAAGTAATTTGGTTTGTGAAGTTATAGTAGACAATTTATTGATTCCATCACACTTTACACTTATTTCTCTACTACGGGATATAGTTCTGTTAGTTGTCAATGATGTTACCTTTGGGTTTTCTATTTTTATTCAGTATATTTGTGAATAAGATTAAGACCCTAAAAAGAAAAACAAAAAGAGCCTCTGTATTCAGTTAACCTTGTGTATTATTGGGGAAATGGTCATTCAGTTGTTTTTCATCTGAGCATCTGAAACCAGAGTGCAGTCCTAAATGTTTAAGCTGTTACGTACTTGACATTAAATTTGTAGCATTTTGATAATTATGTATTAAATAATCTAGTATTTCTTGATCCTGTGAGGATACCTCTACCGCTTGGTGGGTTTAAATTAAACCTATATTTCCACTTTGTTCTATTATCCACTAAACCATCTTACTAATCCTTAACTAATCCTTACTAATCCAGTTATCCTTAACTAGAAGTTTCAACTTAAAATGGGAAGAAACATTATTTCAGACCAGGTAGACTAAGCTTCGACAAGACATACAATTTATGCCTCTGGATGAAATGAGAAAGGGGAAATACTTGTTACCACTTCCCTCAATTTGCGTCCTGAGGAGCAGCCTGGTTGACTGTCTTGTTCTCTTCTCCTTCAGTCCACCTGGAAGGCCACTGTGGGGAAAGGATGTTTGATTGCAGAGATGTGGTTTTCATCATTGGCGAAGGAGAAGACCATGACATTCCTATTGGAATTGACAAAGCCCTGGAGAAAATGCAGCGGGAAGAACAATGTATTTTATATCTTGGACAACGGTAAGCAGCATACCAGTTCAGTGCACAGTGAAGTTGCCTGAGGAACAGTCAACATTTGATATTTTCAGTGAAGTTAATGCTAACAGTAGAAACAATTAATTAAATCAAGCTGTAGTGATGGAGTGAATTATTGGGCCTTATATAACAGAGGTTTATGAACATATTCACCCTGTATTTTGCCATATATAATGAGCACCCACATTTTGTACGCATTAGGCAGGAGATTGTTATACCCATGGCATGTGATCATTATACCCCATGTATAATATGCATCTTTATTTTTCGCTCACAAGTTTCAGCAAAAAAGTGCACATTATACATGGTAAAATTTGGTACTTGATTGATGTTTGTTAAGGAAAGGACTGATAGGCAAGTTTTGCTTTTTGGCTATTTGTTTTGCCTGCTGCATTGCCAAGACGGGCAGCTATTGGCACTTCTCCCGTGATCCTCTCGCCCCTTCTTCCCTTTTCTCTAAATTAGGCAGAAGGCCATAAAACACATGGAGGTTGGAAGTAGAAGAAGCATTTGGGTGATTTATTATCACTTGAATTTGTGCCCCCTGTTCTTACATAGAGTCCTTGGAAAAAACAAAACTGTTCTTTCTGGATCTAAACTCAGTGGAGGTGACTCATTTTTGCCTAAAATTTTCCCATCATCAGGATGCCCATGAGCACTTTCAAACTTAGACCTATCAGATACTAACAGTCTCTCTTGTGAAAACATGTTTGGTATTATTTTCATATCTAAAATTATACCGTGAATCCAGCCCTTCCATAGTGAGAAGCAGATCCTTGAGAGAAACCAGGGTGTTTCGATTCCGTTTGCCTGAAAGTGCACCTGCTTGTCTCATGTCTACTCCCTCTCTGACTCCTAGGATTTCCTCCAGCAGGATTTTGAGGAGTTAAGAACCTTGATGAACTTCACTTAGCAATATGTACTATTGCATCGTTTGTACAATTGCTTGCCTTTGTGTAGCCTCAGTAGTAATCAGTGGCCTATTTACCTTTGCCGAAACACTTGGGCCATAATCCTATTTTTCTCAAGCAATGTTGTAAGCATACTAGTACTCACTTGAAAATCCTTCCAAAATGCTGTGCACCATGAACCTGTTGGAGCCTTCACTGGGTGCCCCTTTTCTTTAGTACCTTCTTTTTCTCTTGTCATATTACTTTCTGCACTACCGGATTCCCACTTCAGTGTGCTCTATTTACCTTTACTCTATATTTGTAGTTCACCCTCAGGTAAACCTATTTCTCTCTTTCTCTAAGGAACTTTTTAAAAATTAAGAACTGCATAGAGAAGGCTTTCTCCTCCATAATTAAATAATATTTAATGACTTTTAATCTGACATTCCAAAATTACAATAGTTCTGGATTTATGTAAAGAGAAGGGTATTTATGTCCAGTGTATATTTTCAGATTTAAATTCCTTGAGGGTAAGTTCTGTATACACTGTGAACATATGGTATTATACAATCAGTTTGCTACATTTTTAACCTAACAGGACACTGGTAGAGGCAGATATCTCAAGTGTAATGACAGAGAGAAAGAAAGTATCCTTGTGTTTATGAATGCTAATAGTTCTTTGCAAGTTTAAATTGTTGTATCATTAGTGCTTAAACCCTGTCAGTAAGCTGCAAGTCACTTATCTCTCCTAAGTCTTAGTTGGCCCTCCTGTAAAATGGGGATAATAGTATCTTTCTCATAAAGCCATGGGGAACTAAATGGAATAATTACGTAAAGAACTTAGCATAGCACCTGACACATATAAACCCCACAGTATATTAGCTGTTTTGCTATTGTGATGTCTGTCTTTCCATTTTACCCTTAGACTGGAAGAAAAAGGAAACCCTGTTATAATATATGCTGATCTTTTTCAGTCCTTTTGAGTGATAAAAGTAGTCAGCCACTTCTCATAAATTTATAGGTATAAAAGTTTTTTCATATGGTCTTTTTTTTGGGAAATAATTTAACATAGTTAAAAAGAAACGTGTCATTTTCTCTTCAAGATGTTGGTTAGTATGTTGAGGTATGTAAAGGACCTTCTCTGCAATAGGAGACTGTTCACATGTGCACTGCTAGATGTTATCTGTGCTTGTAGGAACCCCCGCGCTGGGCGTGCTGTGAGTGCTTGCAGTCACCACACTTCAGACTCTCGCTTGCCAGGCAGCACTGCATCTGAGAGTGTAAACATGACTGTTGCAAATATGTGCTCTGTGTCATTTTGTGTCACCGATATTTCCTTCTCCAAAAGAGTTCCAGGGCGCGCCTTCTCCTCCATTCTGATAGACTATTTGGCAGGATGTTTCCCCAATAGGATAGTGTCTTTTAAGTATTGTGAGTGATTCATCTTTTTCATTTTAGTTTAAGTATAGCTAGTTTCGACTTTTCCTTTTTCCTTTTTTTCCTTGTGATTCTGTCCTGCACCAACCCCAAACAAAAACATAGGCTGCCAGGGGCCATAGTGTCAACTTGTGAGGCAGTCTGAGTCAAAAACGAAACCGTTTTCTGGGGACACATGAGTCTGAGTTTAAATCCTGGCTCTGCACTGCCTCTTTGTGTGACTCTCAGGAAGCATTTCTTTCTGAGCCTCAGTTTCTTTGGCTATAAAAAGGGAGCAATTGGTAAGAACTTAGGGTACAAGTGTTTATATGCACATAAAGGCTAATGGTCACTAATAGTCACCATTTGTATCTCTACTGTCTGCAGGCAGCTATTAATTAAAGAACATTCATACTGTATATGTTTTATTTACTCTATTAACTCTCTTAAAACTATAAAGACTTCAAATTAATACCTATTTGTATGTTTATCTACTTGTACCTGTATATGTATGTGGGAGTGAATACATATAAAGGTACATCAATAAGTCCTTTACTGCACATTGTTACATGAACAGTATACAAAAGGAGTAACATTAAAATTTGGATCCTTAACAAAATATATCATGAATGCTCCATGGGCATCACTTTATGCGTATCCCAGAGAGCCTGATACACATGGCTTCCTTTCTCATTCTTTCCTGCTGAAGTACCCCTGCATCAACAGCTTCTTAAGATTCAATTTTTAACATCTCTAGCCAGGAAGACTTTTTTCTCTGACTTTAAAAAAGTTTATTTTTATTCACTTGAGCCAAGTGATTGTATTCGTTATTTATTTTTATTTATTTGAAATTTATTAAAGTCTGCTTTCTGGCCCTTGGAAAAAATCATCAAAAGACACAGTAAGATAGCATTGATTTTTCCAATTTACCAAAGAGAAGTAAATTTTTTCCAGTTTTATTGAAAAATAATTGACATACATCACTATAATTTTAAGGCATACAGCATGATGGTTTGAATTACATAGTGTGAAATATGTTCAGCTAACATCCATCTTCTCATATAGCTACAATTAAAAAAAAAAAAGAAATGGAAAAAAAACCCCATTAATATCAGATTCCTTTTGTTACTGTAGCCCCACTTGCCATGTGGTCACATGCTAGAATCCCACTTCGGGAGGGCTCTGTCAATGAGTAAGACACGTTTCTGTGTCCAGGTCCCTCTCCACCCAGGCTGCTGTAGTGAACGTCAGTCGGCCTTCTGTGTCCTACCGAAGGCTGGTTAGGTGCCCCTCCCCAGGAGGTGTGTTCCATAGACATCTCCCCAGGCTCTCTTCATGGGAACTCAGGACAGATTATAGAAATAAGACTCTACTTCAGTCTTCTTTAATCCCATTGATAATAAATAAGGAGGCCCCTTTGGTGCCTCCCTTGACTGAACCGCCACACCTCCTACCCCCAGCCATGAGGCCACTAGTTGTAAATGTCTGTAAGGCAGCTTTTCTCACCCTCAGCACTGTTGACATCCTGGGCTGGATGTTTCTTGGTTGTGGGGACTGCATTCATTGTAGGATGTTGAGCAGCCTCCCTGGCCTACACCCACTAGAGGGCAGTAGCACCTCCCTAGTTGTGACAAACCCATCCTTAGACTTTGCCAAAGGCCCCTGAGGGTAAGAGGATGAAATTCACCCCTGTTGAGCCCCATTGGTCTGAGGCACGTGCCAGATCAGCTGTTTAGTGAAGGGCTCCAGGTATAACGTGCTGTCCGGAAACATGCACCCAGCAAGGACTCACCCACCAACCTAGTTCCCAACAGTTAAGGAATGTTCCTTACTTACCAGATGGCAGAAAACAAAATTTCTGCTATACAGGTCTAGGAGCTCAGGTAGAAAACTAGTCACTGCTTCCTAAAATTGGCCACTGGTAACTATGTGCTCTTGTTTCTTCGCTGAAGATCCCCTTTGCCCTGCCGTTGTGGCTACCACACCCCATTCCTGCAGCTCTCATGGCCTCACTCTGGCTCCAGTTGCCATTTTCTTGTATAATGGTGAAGGTGAGTGAGTAAGCATTTTCTTCCTGAAAAACTCAGGCAAGAGGTAAAGAAAGTGGTGCAAGAGGCAAGATTTGTATATTCCCACTCTGGCCGTTTTGCCCCAGAGAAAATTCATTAGCATTAACCTGGTTTGGCATCTTTCAAGCCATAGCATGAAAGTTCGGGTTTCCTAGGTTTTTTCAATGCCCGTCCATATATTAAAGAGTAGTCTGGCTTGAAACAGATGAGAGCAGGATATATTCCAGTGACCGCGTTCCTAATGTGCTGGGCGTTGTTCTAAATGCTGGGAAACCGTTGACCCAGACAGATGAAGCTCCGGCAGATCTTCCAGTCTGGTAGACCTGTGCTCCCCGAATGCGTTGGGGTTATTAAGGATTCTACATGATCTGCAAAATCACATGTATGTCTGCAGTGATTTCATTCAGCAGATTTTGGCTAAAAAATGTAGCATTTTACAGTGTGAGAGCCACAGAGCTGTGAGAGTGTTTCTCTGGATGAAGTGTTAGAGCTTGCTAGGGCTGTTCTTTTTGGTTATATATTTGTTACATCATTTGTAAATTCTAGTATGCTTTTTAAAAGTATTGAGGAAATACTGTGAAAATGTGTTTTTTTCCTGATGTGAGCCTTTCCCCTCATTCATCTGACTGGAAGTGGTACTATTAGATGGAGACAGCACTTGAAAGTTGAAAGCTTAGTAAAACACACCTCTAATGAACAGCACTATACCAATGTCAGTGCTGTGTGCTCTGTCCTCCTGCTGCTAAAGCTTCGGGGAAGGGTCCTAATAGCCAAATAATGGCTGTATTATCAGAAGAACTAGATAGAAAGTCAGGCAGAGAAAATAGCAGTGACACTAAGATCACATTAAGCATGCTGGCCCAAGGAGCACAGGTATTGCATCACACGTGATTTTGAAGGAGAAATGACAACTCAACCTAGACTGGTTTCTTAAAAACCACCGCAGTGGCACTTGGCTCTGTATCGTCTGATCAGCACCTGGTTGGTCTTCAGGGTGTCCAACATGTGCAGTCAGTCTGCAGATGACAGCTCTATGCTAATGTGATGCCGCAGAGCACTGAAGGAAGTACCTGGAAATGCACTAATTCTTTTGAAGTTTTATTTTTCTATTCTCCATTTCAGATATGGTTTTGGAGAGGCAGGGAAGCCTAAATTTGGCATTGACCCTAATGCTGAGCTTATGTATGAAGTTACGCTTAAGAGCTTCGAAAAGGTGAGAAAATACCAACTTCTCTGAAATCACAGTAGATTTCTTCGTCCACTTCCTGTGAATTATTAAATGTACTACTAGGTGGAGCAGGTTGGTGGTATTTATTTGCATGTCGTACTCTTGTCTCTGATGCTCCTAGAATATAGGACCGCCAACACAGCACAGCTGATGCACAGCTAAGGTGCTAGTGTTCTCATTCTGTTCCTATGTGTCGGCCCCCCCCTTTTTTTTTTTTAGTTTTTTGGGGTAGAATCCAAGACTTGTTCCCATATTTGTTCCTGAACTTGTCCTTTTTATACTTCCCTCATTTGAAGACAGAAAGGTTCACGTTCTGCCAAGCAGCTCCTTGGGGGAGCGGGATGTGGTGTTGCAGGGCTGAACTGGTTGCAACCTCCTCAGGAGTGGTGAAGAGGCCTTCACTGAGGCTCCAAGTTACCCCAAAGGCAGGGCTTCATGGGCCACCAGGCTTTGTGACAAGGATCACAAGAGACAAACCTGCAGACCCCAGGCCTCTTCTTTTCATACTTGGCCAAGTAGGGAAAAAAGAGTTTGTCGATTGCCTTGAGTTTCGGAAGTGGCATGCCTCTTTGAGAGTATTTCCATCTCATGCCTGATTCTGGAAGCTCCCAGTGGCAGACTCACCAGACAGACAGAAAACACATGCCCGAGCGAGGCATTCTGTCATCTCCAAGTAAGTCCCCTTTGCATCAAGGCACCAAATCCCACCCTTCCCCAAGAGGCTCAAGAACTGCATTTTGTATGCCTGTCTTATTCCCACAGTGCCCCCTCCAGGTTCTGTATTTTAAGCTTCAGACTGGAAGCGTGACTATTTGTATTTTATTAGATTCTGAAAAAAACCATTGTCATGCAGGTCTGTAACTTTGGGTTAAGAAGGCAGGGGAGGACTGCTGTGGAAGCCTTCCTGTCACGCCCCTCACACTTCACATTCCCCAAAACAAGCATGCACCTTTCATGACCATTGCTTGTTGTCAGATCACCTCTTATGAAAGGGGCTAGCTCTACACCCGCCCTCCAAAGCTGTCTCCATAGCAGTGTTGTGTATTGTTAAAGAGAGAGAGAAGAATCTTTGGCATGTGGTTATTTGGGCCTTTGACTTTCCTGTTCTCGTTTTAATGAAGTTACTCCCCTTTCCACCGTGGCCCTGTGGGCATTGCCTGCTTGGCACCCTCTCACTGGCATTGCCCCTGTCATGGTGCCAGCAATATGTCTTTTCTGTGCGACTCCACTGGCTTTATTTGAAACCATGTGAAGGTGTGTGATGTTGGAGGCAACCTGATTTAATTTCCTGTCTGTTTTAACAGTATTTTTATATTCCATAAAGACTGAACCTAATATTAAAAAGCAAAGGACCCTTGTTACTAGATTTTTAAATAATAGAGCGTAAGTTGTTAGGAAGCAACGTGGTTTTGCCAGAAAGACTAGTCACTGTATTATTATTCACTTTAAAGGAACATACCACTAACTGTCTTCAGCCTAGAGAGAATGTTTCAGTTACTGGCTTAAGCTTCTTAATTCCTATGCAGTAAATAGCTCTGACATAGCCTTGTTATTTCCCGTACAGGACCCCAGGTTGTTTTGTGGATTCTAGGATCCTTTCAAATCCAGCTGTTCATAATGAAAGTACAGTTGTCTCTGGATTTGGGTCTTTAATAGGGGAGAATAATAATACACATATACAAATTAGCAGATGATCATGAAATCATTTATTTATGGCATTGAAATGATATTTTTGCATTAGCTTTACCCTTCCAATTTTGTTTTACTTGAAATTCCCCGAGTATACATCCGCATGTTGATACAGTTTGGAGGCAGCTTTACCCTCCCAATTTTGTTTTACTTGAAATTTCCCAAATATACATCTGCATGTTGATATGGTTTGGAGGCTTTATTGTATCTGGTTGCATTAGAGTGGAAAAGACAAGTACATGACCTGGAATTTTAAAAATTCTCATGAATATAAAACTGTGACTTGCCTACAGTAGTGTTCCCATTTTAGAGTTGAAAGACTGAGTCTTGAGAGAAACCACTTGCTCAAGTTATAACAGCAGTTCAGTGGTGAAGCTTACAGGAGGGAAAAAAGGGATACCAGCTCTCACTGTGTGGCCTCACCTTATAATTCTATAGATGCATTCTTTAGCAGTCCCCTGTGGTTTGTATTACTCACTGTATTTATGCCGGCTCCTCCCTCTTGAGGCGCAGGGTCCAGCTGCAGCTTTGTCCTTGGACGGTGAGCGTGAGCCTGGTAATGTCTTGGCAAGGGCATACTTTCAGAAGCTAATAATGTGTTTGAGGTGTGGGAATCCTCACAGGAGCCACTGTTAGTTCTTATGGGCATCAGCTGACACTTTTTCCTTCTTTGTTCAATTTAACCATTGTCACAAACTTATACAACAGGCCAAAGAATCCTGGGAGATGGATACCAAAGAAAAATTGGAGCAGGCTGCCATTGTCAAAGAGAAGGGAACTGTGTACTTCAAGGTATGTGAGTTCTTGTAGAGCCCTTTCTTCCTCAAAGAATTTACTCAGTGTCAGTGAATTGTGCTGATATTCCCTATTCTGAATATTATCAACACCTTTCTGCGTGAGAATAAGCCTGAACTTTTACAAGTGTGTCATTTCCATGCCCTGGCTGGGTAGCTCAGTTGGTTAGAATAGCCAAGGTCATGGGTTCTCTCTCCAGTCAGGGCACACAAAAGAAGCAACCAATGAATGCATAGATAGTGGAACAACAAATTGATGTTTTTCTCTCTCTCTCTCTTCCTGACCTCTCTCCCCGCTTCCATTCTCTCTCTCAAATCAATTTTTTTTTAAAGTCTGTCATTTACAGTATAAGAAATAGTGAGAAAGAATAAATTAACATAACAAAAGAATACAAATGATCTTTTACAGGATCTCCTCTAGATTGTAACTCTCCCTAGGGACAAACGAGTTCTGGCCTGCCCAACCACCAGGGGGTCACTCAAAGCCTGAAGCATCTTACTTTAGTACACAGTTGGCACTCAGTGTGTGTTTGTGGGATGAAACAAGAGAGACTAGAATAATTGTTAGCAGCAAAGGAATTCATAGGGTGAATCTTAACATCATTTTCCTTTGCATTGTGTTGGTGAAGTCACTAAAACACATGACAAAGGAAAGAGAACATGAAGAGATTTCCAAGGACACTGACAGAAGGCAAGGATGAATGTCTTCTGATGGCCACCTTGATCCCTGCCACACCTGCTTTGTGAACAATATTCAGAAATTTCCGAGTGATCTTTGTCATCGACTATTTCTGAAAAACCGTTTCTCGTAATATCTAACGATGTGTAATTTCCTCAGCTACGTTTTAAATCCCCCAGGTAGAAGAAAAAAAAGAAACAGCACTATGTTCAATTCTAATCAAAGTGCCTTCCTCATCGCTTTTCCACCCCAAATATGTCAATATGCCTTCTCCATGTCAAACAGAAGGACTTAGTGAGGAAGGGAGTTGGAGAAAGAAGGGGAGTCTTGTCAAGGCTCCTTCCTTTTCCTTTTTTTCCCCTGGCCACTGCTATGCAAGGACAAAAGCTAGGTGATGTTATTAGCAGCCTATAGCAGCGATACACAAATGTGCTCCACCAGGTCTCCGTGGAGCGTGGGCTGTGGGACACGCTGCTGTGCTGACACCCTCGTCTGGAGGGAGCAGAGGCAACGGTCACCCACGTGACACATCTAGTTATCTAAGACTGCGTAATCACAAATTAGGGTGGCCAGGGAGCAACGAGTGTGGTTATTGTTTCTTAAACTTTGAGAGGAGACCTATTATTGGCCATGAAATCAATTCAGTGGAAGTGTATATTGCATTATGTAGTAAGGGTAAATTTTGTCCTGTAAGTCTTTTCTTCACTTGTGTGTGAGAGGGCACTGGGTCATCATTTATTTATTTATTTATTTTTTAAGCTTTCCAAATGATTCTTTAACTGGCATGCACTTTAAGATATACACACACATTACATTCCCACTAGAAACAGGAAACCAAACCTCAAAGGCAGTTTTATAACTTTATTTGACAATCAGCAGTTGGTTCTCATCCACATTAACTGTTTGTAGATTTTTGAAAGTGGTTACAGGTACGTAGGTGACCAACGTATAGAGCTTATTTGGTGAGTCTTCATCCTCATTTCATTTTCTGGACAACCGCACCCAGATACGGTATGGGACATTCCTTATTCCTTTGGCCCAGATGGCTTTGTTGAGCCTGGTGTCAATGCGCACATCTGGAGTTCCCATCTCCTTCATGGCTAATTTCCGGATCTCTTTGAGTGCCCGAGGGGCACGCTTCTTGAAGCCCACTCAGTGGATGTGCTTATGGATGTTGATAGTACTCTCTGGTCACTTCACTACCTCACTGATGGCAGAACGGCCCTTCTTGCCACCCTTCTTTGCGGGAGCCATCATGCTGGGCCCAAGTTGGAAAGAAGTGGATCATCATTTAAAACATGTTTTTTACTGTGGGTTTTGGTTAAACAAATTTAAAATCTGTTGGCTTAGATAATATAATTATTTATATTTATTTCTAACTACTTATTTTATATATTAAAATAACGTATGGCTCACCAGAAAACATTGGGCTATGGGGGAATGAGCTCTGAATTAGAAACTGGGAAAACTGGACAGTATGGCTCCAAATGATTTAAAATCATTTAAGGTCTAAAAAGGTTATTTTTTCAAGTGAAAAGTTGAGGGAGTTAGATTATATGATCTCTGAGTTTCTTCCCAACCCTAAAATCCTTTTGAGTTTTTAAACTCTTGAGAGCAAGTTTGATTTTTGATTTTTTTTAATTAATTTATTTGCTTGTTAATTCAGTTTGTTCATTAGAGTCCACATATAATATAGTATTTGTCTTTTTCTGACTGGCTTGTTTCACTCAGCATAATGTTCTCCAGGTCCATCCATACCATCACAAAGAGTAAAATTTTATTTTTTACAGTTGAGTAGTATTCCATTGTATAAATATGTAACATAGCTGTTTTATCCACTTATCTATTGATGGGCACTTGAGCTGCTTCCAAATCTTGGTGATTGTAAATAATGTTGCAATAAACATAGGGGTATATACGCTCTTTGGAATTAGTGTTTCATGTTTCTTCAGGTAAGTTCCCAGATGTGGAATTGCAAGTTTGGTTTTTAAAAAATTCAAATTATGTACATTGGTTACTTGTACACTATTCAAGTGAGATACCAAATGGGCTTTTTGTAGATCCTAAATACACAATACACTGGAATAAAAAGAAAATTTTCTGTAAAACCTTTTTAGTGTATAGGTCCTGAATGGTGTTTCTTATATACCTGTAGTCCATTAAGTCTTTAAATGTATTTTTTAAATATTTCCCAGAACTTCTAAACAGAATATTAACAGTTTGGGGGACAGGTTGAAGCTCTTGGCATTTACTAGAATTTTATCAACTCAGGTTAGTAAAACAGCTCAATGATTCAAAAACTCTTAATTGGTTGCTAATGACTCTGAACTTCAGGGAATACTACTGATAATGAAATAATGTTGCAAAGCCACATGCCATATAGCTCTGAATATATAAAGAAAACTCCTGAATATATAAATATGGCCAGAATTTGTGATAAGTAGCAAAAAGCATTGCTTAAGTGTCTCTACAATTACTTCAACTTCGTTGCTTCTTAGCATCACAACTGCAGTAGTGATTTGTATATTTCATAATATTATGAACCCTCTTAAAATTACTGATTTTTGAGTAAAATCTGGATTAGCAGTCACACATAGAGAACACTTTATTTTTAACATGCAATTTGATAGACAAAAATCTTTCCAAACAAAAGGCCACTGGGAGAAAATAAATGGAGTTTGGAGTTTCCAAACTCCAAAGCCACTGACCTAAGACTTTTCTCCCAGAATGTCTCTGAACATCATGTATTACTACAAACTTCCCCAGAGGCACCTTCATAATTACAGCTAAAAGATCCCAGCGGGGATCCTAGTTTTAGCAGTGAGGCTTCAAAATAGCTGGCACATAGTTTCCTGTAAGCATTCCCTTTTCAATTTCGGGGCAGGTTTCAGTCTGCCACAGTGGCCTCCTGGGCCACACCTTTCCAGGAGGTCGACTTGGAGCCTTGTACACATGCAGCATCCAGACTTGCGGGTGACAGCAGAGATGGTGAAATGAAAATGTACATTTCATGCCATCAATGCATTGGAGCTCCATTTTCCTTGATCTGTCGATTTCGTTTACCCTTAAGTGGGTAAATCTCTCCCCTTAGGGTTGGATTGTGGTCAGCTTTTTAAAGGGGAATGGTTTTGCTATTTAGATAGGAAAGCCCTCATATCAGCCTCTGAACACTGAAGAAAGGTAGGAGAAGACTCTCGTCACTTTAGAGACGGCTCTAAAAATAATTAGGCCTAGTTAAAACATGGCATTATGTTGTACAAGCTGTTAAACAGGTGATTTTTATCTCCCCCTCGCCCCAACACACACACACACAACAGCATTCTACGGGACAGGAGCTTTCACTTACTATCACACCTGGTTACTGTTTCTCTTCTGAAGTGGAGGCTCAGAGACAGGAAGTGTGAGGAACCCAGTGAGGTGGGGTTCTGGTGCCCCCTTGTGCTCTGTGGGGAAAAAATTATTTCCAAAGCCGGTTGAGGATCATCTTTCAAACACTGAACCCTCTACAGACATACCAGCTTGTACTCTGTTTTGACCACCCTAGCTGAACCAAGAAACCAGTCATTTGTGACTCTAGGATTTTGGGTTAAAAAAATCTCACAAGAACAGTCAACCCTTGCCTTTTTTCTCCTTTCTACATTCTTTTAGTACAGATTTCTCAACCTCAGCTCTGTTGACATCTGGGGCTGTGTGATTCTGCATTAGTGGGAGGCTGCTATGCGCACTGCAGGGGAGTTGGCAGCATTCCTTTCCTCTATCCACTGGATGCCACAGTACGGACACCCCCTCCAGTGTGACAACTGGAAAACATCTCTAAACGTTGCCAAATGTCCCAGGGAGCCAAAATCACCTGAGTTGAGGATTCCCATTTTAGCAAATCAGAAGCAGAAATAGCACAAAACAAATATCTTTGCTCATTGGAAGTTGAGCTCTTAGTAGAATGATGTATGATTGTGCTATATATGGAAGAACTTTCAAGAAATTAAAATGCTCTATCAATATAAAGTATCTACTGTGAAGTCTGTTACTTGTTTTCCTTTTAAAAGCTATAGCCTTTTACCACTCTGATGATTGAGAACCTGCAGAAGTGATGTGATCTGGGCCTTTGTTCTCCCTGGCTCTTCTTTTCCTTGCCTTTAACAATACAAGTATATTAGGAGGTAATCAGAAAGATAATAGGTACATTAAAAATGAAGGAAGAGAGTAAGAAGAAACTAGGCATAACAGGGAAAATGTCCTCACCTAATCAAAATGAAACGGCACCTCTTGTATCTACCCCACCTGCACTTTGCCCCAATGGTAGGAGAACTTTGGATTTCATCGTTGTATTCCTTTGACCTTAATAGTTATTCAGCAAACCTTCATTGAGGGCCTCTTTGTGCTAAACCCTGGATGTTCCAAAAGAGATAGGGCATGCTTCTGGTCCTCGAAAGGTTCACAGTTCAGCCAGAGAAAAGAGTGACAGAAAGAAAATGCCAAACCCTGAAACTGGGTGAGGACTTTATTCTTTTCTCTTTCCCTTTCTTTTCTTTCCTTCCTTCCTTTTCTCCCTTTTCCTTTTCCTTTTCCTTTCCTTTCTCCCAAAAAAGGAGGAATGAGCCTATGGCTATGATAAAATATAATTACTGTTTTAGTTACCTCAGGCTGCCATAATAAAATACAGGAGACTGGACTTAAACAGTAGGAATTTATTTCTCACAGCTCTGGAGATTGGAAGTCCAAGATCAAGGTGCCAGCAGGGTCAGTGTCTTAGGAGAGTCCTCTCCTTGGGTCACGGTGGCTTTTCCCTACGTGCTTGTGCATGGAGGGTAGAGAGGAAGCAAGTTCTCCGGTGTCTCTTAGGAGGGAGCTGATTTTATCATGAGGCACCACCTTCAGGCCCTTACGCGAAATCGGATTGTCGCCCCAAGTCCCCATCTCCAAAAACACCCCATTGCGCGTAGGGCTTCCACATCGGAATTGGCAAAGGGGGCGAGGGGCAGTTATGTCCGTAGTAAGTACGATATCATTTCCTCAGGAATTTCAGCATTTATTATGAAAGGGCCTGATTTCATAGTCTTAGGAAAGGCCTGTAACACACATCTGTGAGGCAGAAGGTACCCCCTCTCCTTCAGAATCCCTGAGAACCCTTCAGCATTGTCTCGTAGGTCAAACCCGGTGAGCGCTGCTGTCCCTTCCCTAACGTGTCCCGCGAAGGGGCTGCTCAGTGTGGATGTGGCTTTGCCCTCGTTCAGATCCAGGATCTCCATTCGGCCCTGGCCCCGCCCACCCACTCCAGAGAGCTACGTTGGGGGCCTCCTTCCATGGGTGGAGCTGCTGTCTTAGACCCTTCCCCTGAAGCCCTTCAGAGCAGAAACGTTTTCGTACACCCGCTCAGTGACTTTTCTCAGTCAGGGAGAGAGATTTGGAGTGTGAGGGGAGCCATTGCTCTGCACTGAGGCGCATGCGCCATTTTTAGGTGGTAAATCCTAGTGATGTGACCGTAACATTGTCCCTTAGTCCGCTTGGGTTTAATGTCCTAATGGGTCTGGCTAACAGTTCCGCCATCTGGAAGGATCCATTTTCGAGCTTTATATTGCGCTTTCTTTCATCCATCCTAAAATGGCAGTGAACACATTGTCTCAGCCCCGTAATTTCTCGTATGGAGCATATATGAAGTTCATTCACACGAGTTAATTACACAGTTAATCACAATATGTTTGAATTCTACCAGTCACGTAAGAGTGAAAATACGGCGAAGGGAAAGATTTTTCTCTATGTCTGACATCTGTGTAATTTGTGTTTTATAGTTATATTTGTTGAGTGCTGCTTTTTCAACTATGTATATTCCCATTGTTTATAGATAGCAAACTACTGCCTGTCATTGTAAGGAAGGTTCTGCTGGGACACAGGCACCCATTCATTTCTACGCTGTCCGTAGCTGCTTGTGGCTCCTGTGTAGTGCCAATGGTCAGGGGCAAAGGGAAAAGCAACTTCCCTTTAAGTAAACTAGTGGCATAGTCTAAAACTACTCACAAACCTTTTGAAAGTCTGATAGATATTAGCCCCCAAAAAGATAACCCAAAAGCTTTGCAGCCCTCCCGTGCAGAGAACTGCCCCTCAGAAAGGGTGAGGGAGTGAGTGCTGGGAGCAGCGTGTGCACGGCTGTCGTGACCCAACTCCCCAGTCTCTGGGGCTCTGGGAAGAATGGAGACCTGCCAGGCAGCCAGCCCCAGAGACCAAAAAGAAATAATCAGACCCCAGGTTTTGTACAAGAAGGGTGTCCGTTTTGAGGATTTAGCTCTCAGGGAGGCCTGAGCCTGCTCTTGTCTTGTACCCCCTTTAGAGCTGGCATGGAGAGTAACTACCAGCTTGTTTTCTCCTAGGGAGGCAAGTATGTGCAGGCAGTGATTCAGTATGGGAAGATAGTGTCCTGGCTGGAGATGGAATACGGCTTATCAGAAAAGGAATCTAAAGCTTCGGATTCATTTCTGCTCGCTGCCTTCCTGAACCTGGCCATGTGCTACCTGAAGCTCAGAGAATACGCCAAAGCCGTGGAGTGCTGCAACAAGGTACAGTCTCCGTGTGCCGGGGGCTTCACGTACTCCTGTCTTCTCTGCATCCTTGCCCTGCTCTTGTTTTGCTTCTTAGCCACGGGTTAGAGGGCTTTTAATTTGGCTTTATTTATTTATGTTCTGGATTATTTGTTTCTCAGTACGAACTGGAAAATATAAAGAGTTTTTAATTAAGCACTTTTCTGATGCCTAGACTATTTATAGTAATACATTATGAATAAAAGTTTTGATAAAATTAAACAGATTTTATCCATGACCTTCCTTAAGTCTCTGTCCCTTATAGCTCCTTAGGTTCAATTGAGTAAGAACAGATTCTACTTAAGCCTTTCAGGACTTTAATATAATAGACTACAGCTGCTCATGTAGAGGATCTATAAAGAAGTTATGTTTCCTTATAATCATTTACTTACTGAATAAGAATACACATAAATAATTTGAAAGACCCACCAAGCATCTGCAGCCCTCTCCCTTTCCACATTTGTGTTGTTACTGCTGCTCCTAGTCTTTCAGGACATATGTGTGTGAGGACAGTGTCAGTGTGCAGTGTGCTCTGATGTTTATTTGCACCAGTGATGCTGACTGTTCCATCAGGTGCCTCGTCTCAGAGCGAGCAGTGGGTATTGTGCTGTGGGTAAAAGCTGATGATTGAATGTATCTTACAGATAAATGGAAAAGGATAAGAAAAGCAACTATTTCATATATTCTTTGTAAGATTATTTTTGAATTTTAGTATTTTTAGTTTTTGTGGATCAATATGTTCCCTATCACGTTTTATTGAATTTTTGCCTAAGAAAGAAATGTTACTGTTAATTACATTGTTGAAGCTTTTTGCTTCTTTATTTTTATTATAGTAATATAAAGTTATTCAAAATTGAAACAGTATAGAAACATACAAGAAAGTAAAGGTCATTTCATGAAATTCCCATTGACCGTCTTTTCTAAGACCAGCCATTCATCTCACACACATTCCTTCTGGTTTTCCCACACAGAGTAACATATACGTGTTGTTTTTAAAAGTTAGAATATATAGATTTAAGGACATCTTTCTGCATCTTACCAATCTATCATACAACTTTCCTTCATTCTTTTAAATATCTTAGTATCTATTGTATGCATCTTTGGTTTATCTAACCAATCCCTTTTGGTAGATTTCCATGTATTTGTCATTACAAATTATGTAATGTCTCTCTTTGCGTACCTGTGGGATGGTTTCTATGGGACAGATTACTAGAAGTGGAAATACTGGGTCAAAAGACATGATTTTAATACATTAACATTTTAAGTTTTAATGTTATATATTATCATTGAATATCATCAGTGTTTCTTTCCTAATACTATTGGCAACAAAAAATGTTATTTTCATTTCTTATTGCACATCTTTTCATTATTTGCCATTTGCACTTCTGTGAATGGCCTGTTACATTCTTTAACTGCATTGTCTGTTTTCGATTGATTGAGACAGTCTGTACATTATCACTATTATCCCGTTGTCTGACAGCAGGGATGCTGTGGCCCTCTTCTCCTTATTTGTCTTTTCACATTGTTGATAGTATCTTTTCTCATGAAGAAAGTTTTAATATTTACATAGTCAAATCTGTCTTTCCCTTTCTAGCTAGAAGTCTTCCCCACGCTAGGAGTATAAAAATAACCCCCTTCAGTACTTGCAAAACCTACTCCAATTAGATTTATTTTTTAAAAATAATTTTAAAATAAGCCTATTTTATTTGTAGGGGTGGTTGCATGTAAATATACTTGGTTTAAAACTTATTTTTGTGTTCATGATAAGAGGTAAGAATTAACTTTTATTTTCTCCATGGATAGCTATTGTCTTGGCACTGTTTATAGTAAAGCTAATCTTTTCTCTACTGACTTACATGATCTGCTTCTGATCATTGGCCTGTTTGCCCACGGACTAGTAACCAAACTGTTTTAGTTTCCGTAGTTTAATAGTATATCTTTTTCTCTGGTAAGGCACGTACCCTCTTATTATGTTTGTTTTTCCAAAATTTTCTTAGGCATTCTTGGGCAGTTATTCCCATTGAACTTTAAAATGAACCTCTCAGGATTCCCCTTCCAAATCCCTTTGTGATCTTTACAGAAATTGTATTAAATATTGAAAGTAATTTAGGTAGGTCATTGTATTTTGATGGGTAGCATAGAATAACCTTGAGTCCATTTTTTCATTATACTTTTTCTAATTCCTTTCGCCAGAAAGCTTAAGTATGTTATTTAAATACTGAGTTTCTTTAAAATTCCCACAAGTTACACTCATTCTTTCTAAAACATAAACCATGTGCTCTAGGCCCTAAGACTGGACAGCACCAACGAGAAGGGCTTGTATAGGAGGGGCGAAGCCCAGCTGCTCATGAACGAGTTTGAGTCGGCCAAGGGCAGCTTTGAGAAAGTGCTGGAAGTCAACCCCCAGAATAAGGCCGCGAGACTGCAGATCTCCATGTGCCTGAAGAAGGCGAAGGAGCACAATGAGCGGGACCGCAGGATCTACGCCAACATGTTCACAAAGTTTGCAGCGCAGGACGCCAAGGTGTGTGCAGAACACGCTTGCCTACACAATCCCAAAAACATGGAATAGGGAACACAATGTGGGCTTACCTGGGGCTGGTTTGGGTCCAGAAATAGAATGGGGCTGTTCTACTCACCAAAGGCGAGTAGCAGAGGCAAAAATGTTTATGCAGGACGTGAGGGAACTTAATTCCCAAGAAATTAAAATAATCAAGCACAACACTTTTTTTTCAAATAATACCTCCATGTTAAGACCTGTGATTTTTCCCAGGAGGTAGGCTGGGCGGGGAGGCCCACCATCCTGCCCTCCACCTGCAGGTTCAGGGGCCAGCCTGGCAAGTAGGGTAAAGGTCAGTCTCTCCGGCAGCAGAGTTGTGTCCTGAGCTCATCCTCCACTCCCCACCCTCTTGTCACATGGACTTGATTATTAAACGGTGGCAAGCTAGTCACTCTAACCAAAGAAAAGTAAATGCTCCCACTTTAAACTGTTGGCAGCACAGCCCTGCCTGACCCCATCAAGGAAACCCAAGTTAAGCCCTTGCACTGCCCCCTAGTGTTAGACTTGACAGACAGTCCGTGGGTCCAGGAATCACCTAAATATTTCACTTATTTCTTCCTCAGGAAGAGGCCAGTAAAACAGTGGGCAAGAAGACGTTAGAAGGGGCCACCAATGAAAAAGAAACAGGAAGTCCAGCAACGGAGGAAGGGAGAGCTAAAGACCACGTATGACACCATGCAAAGGAGGGAAGAGTCCTAATGAACTCAGCCCTCCTCCATGGGCTTTCCCCAACTCAGGACAAAATAGTGTTCAATGTACAGTTTGTCATAGTCTTTGAGATACTGGAAGCAAATGGCAAAACCAGTAGCTTCCCAGAAAACCATACCTTGCTGCTGCCCAGTGCCCTCAATGGCATGGGACCACTCTGGGGGCAGAAACAGGTGGCTGCTTGTGTGGAGAGGTGGAGCCAGCGGCAGAAGTCCAGCTCATTTCAGTTTAGATCAACTTGCACTGTCCATTTCAGGGTCCCTTGAGATAATTCTAACAATTTGGAGTTGTCTCCTAGGTTATACATGCGATTGAATTTCAGTGGCACTTCAAAAACCTAAAAATAAATGCTTAATGAATTTCTCCTTTCCTTCAGATGGATTGGGGGGACAGGAGGATGAAGTTTTGTTTTTTTAATCAATGAAGTGCTACAGATACAACTATTATATTTTTAACCAACAGAAGCCACAGTAGAGGGGCCTGGTGTCCCCTCAGGTCCACAGCAGTGTCACAGACTTGAAAGCCAGAAACTCACAGGCCACTTGCTGGCAGACTTAACCTGACTCCCTGTTTAGTGAGCCAGCCTCCTCATGCGCGTGAGTCTCTACCACAGCCAGCTTGTCCCTGAGGAGGAATTCTGTCATTCCTAAAACACTCTTCAGCAATGACGGTGAGCAGACAGAGTGTCTGGGTTAGTTTTCTCTGTTTTGGATGAAGTTCTGAGAGGCCAAAATGTGTAAAGAGCAATCACAGTTGTGCTTTTTTTCCTTCCTCTTTTTCTTTTAGGAAATAATGTTGACTGCAGTACCACCCTGTTAGTATCGCTTATTCCTTACCTGATTTCCATACTAACCCTTGCTATTAAGAATGTAAGGCTTGTGTTTATACCATCTCTGACCTGGAGTGGACTTACTTACATATCCATAAGAGATCGACACAGCTTTTTTGTTGTCTTTTAAAAATTACTGGCCCATAAACATTTGTATGTATTCTGGTTTGTGGAATTTATTTACAACCCTCTCTCACGCAAAAAAACAAAAACAAAAAAACCCTTGACTTTTTACTAGTAGGTAGCTGAATTTTTAAAAACAAACTCTGTGGAGTTGGAAAAATAAGTAGTTGCTCTCCTGCATTAGGGTATTCCTCACAGACTTGACAGGCAGTGGCTTTCTTTCCCTGCATTGAGTGCTTCTCTGTTCTGGGGCGGGTTGTAATAAAGAATTGAAAAAAGCTTCCCATGCAGGTGCATCTAGCTTAAAATCTCCAATACCGGGGCACTGAGTTAGGGCAAGTCTTAACATCTGTACACATCATTGAATTGAAGTCCTTATGGGTAAACAAGATTGAGCCTGGCTTCCTAGTCCCACAGCCTAAGAAACACTCTTGGGAATGCATTTGGCGACCTGAAGCATTCCCTTCAACCTGCAGCATCTCACTTTTTTCAATCCTAAAGAACACTGGCAATTGTATTTTAGTTTTAATTTTTACGGTGGTTTTCACAAAGCACTTCAATTAATTGGGTTAGGGCCCATGTTAAAACCTAAAAATAAAGTCCTTTCCTTTTATACCTGTGTTCTTCTCCACGGAACAAATGGAATTAAATTGTGTTTCTCTGTTATTGTTAACTAAAATTCTTTTACATTCTCATTTATGTTTTTTTCTTTTTCCATGAGATATTTCTTTCAAAAGCCCCAAATCTTACCTAGGAAATAAGAAAAGCAAAAGTTGATTTTGCTTATTTGCTTAATCATTTAGTAGTTCTGTTGACTAGAGCATGACTCCCATGAGCCCAAAACTGAGATTTGATTCTAAAAAGGCCAATTAGCTTTTTGCAGAAAACAAACAAAAAGTATCCAAAATTAGATTAACCCAGCAACTGTCCCCCAAGTATGTATGTGTCACAATGGGGAGCAGGCAAGAGTGTGGAGGAGAGAGTGGGGAAAGGCTCACAGGTGGGTCTGCGCAAACCGTTAGAAGGCGACCATCACCACTCAAGAAAAAGAAACTTCACATATTCTTGAGGTAAACTCTGATCTTAAATTGTTTGTCTAGAAATCAGCAGGTGTCTTTGAACCATCTTTTAGACTGCATATGGAGTGGGGATGAATTAAAAACAAAACTTAAAAAAAACATTCAGAACTCTTTTGTGTTCCTTAACTACAAAAATGTGGTTTCACATTGTTCTTGGTTTTGGCTAAACAGCCTTCACAAAAGGTTGTTTTAGTTGGGAAACTATAGTAGGGCCCAAGAGGAAAAGAGATAGAAAGCTGGTGAGGACAGAATGGACCTGCGCCTTGCCGTGATGTGTACCTTGAAGTCAACATTGGGCTAAAGGCTGTGGAATGATGGATCTGTGTTCACACGAACCAAATAATCAGAAAACAAGAGGATTTTGTATTTTCATAACCATTGGGTATTTCACCATTTTGAGTGATTGTAATGTAGGTTCAGTTGGGGAAATGAGATTTAATTTGCCCTTTAATAAAAATGTGAGCTATAAGTAAGCCTGTGTCAGGCGATGCCCTGTGTTAAGCATACATTTCTTCTTCAGTAGCACATGTCATCAGGTATTCATGGCGGCACACTCTGAAGGCCTAGGGAGAGGATGCCACACACCGTGAGTCACAATTCCCACACTAGAAAAGGAAGGGGGTGTGGGGCTGGGGCAGGGGCGCACCTTTCTCCAGAGGTTCCACTGAGGTCTACAGACAGGCTGATGCAGGCTCTCAGCCTTTCATTCTCTCTGAATTCCTTGCTTCATCTCTGCATTTGAGTTGCACTCCTCCCCATTGGCTGCTAAATTATTTGGTAATGAGATAATTCCCTTTGCATGTTTTCCTAAGCAAATAATGATTATGCTATGGATCTTGAGGTGAGCCAGAGCAGTTTCTTGGCTGTACATTTATGACCTGGGTAATCAGGCAGCCTGCACCTGGCTGCAGAGCAGGAAGAGTGCCTGGGAAGCACCTTGTCCGTCCTTGCTTGGTCTTTACAGCAACACTGAACTTCCTTCTTAGCATGGCGCATTAGGACATACTCTCTGAGACTGGCAACATGGGTGTCAAATGCACTGAATTTGAGTTGATGAGTCAAAATCCCAAAAATCAGAATTCCCCAACCTAGCTTTATGCTATTTCTGTCAATGGACTTCTCGTGTGTTTGAATAGCAGTGGCTGACCACACTGCACGTAAAATGACGTTCCCTAATGGCTTGAAAATGTTTTGCGGGACCCTTGGTGCTTTCTTGCAGATTTTTCTCCCATACACATCTGATATTTCTTTGGGAGGTAGGAAGAGGATATAGAGAATGCACAATAATTTTGATGCTGCTATATGTGCATACTTTTTCTTTTTTTTTCCTTTCTTAATCCTCACCTGAGGATATGCTTACTGATTTTGGAGAGAGAGAAATATCGATGAGAGAGGAAAATATCGATTGGTTACCTCCCATGCATGCCCAGCCAGGGACTGAACCCGCAACCTAGGAATGTTCCCTAAACAGGAACTGAATCTGCAAACTTTTGCTGTACTGGATGGTGCTTCAACTAACTGAGCCACCTGGACAAGACTACATAACTTATCTGTTTGCCTATAATTGTATGTAATCTATGTGTGACCTTAATAATACATGAAAAAAACAGGACATCACTGAATGCAGTCCCAAGAAGCATCCTTTTGGAGCTAACTGCTACCCATAGATAGGACAGCCAGAGCAGAGTCCATAATGCAGGGGTTCCCCGAGGACAGTGGAGATCCAGAAAGGGGAAGACCCAGTGGTAAAGTGCTGTCCCGTGGTTATCCAGGTCACCTGATGTCCTTATACTTTTCCAAAATAGGTCCTCTTCTAGTCTGAAGCATGAATCTCTTGGCATATGAAATGAGATGTTGGTAGCCCTTCAAAGTCCCTTAGCAAAAAAGAAAGGGAGGAAGGGAGGGAGGGAGGGAGGAAGGAAGAGAGGAAGGAAAAAGAAAAGAATCAGCCCTGGCCGGGTGGCTCAGTTGGTTGGAGTACCATTCTATATACCAAAAGGTTACGGGTTCAATTCCTGGATGGGGCGTGTATGGGAGGCAGCCCTCGATGTTTCCTCTCTCACGTCAGTGTTTCTCTCTCTCTTCTATTTCTAAAATCAATAAACATATCCTTAGGTGAGGATTAAAAAAAAAAAAGAATCAGTAGCATATCTATACATTAACTATGAATTATCTGAAAAAGAAATAAAGATAATCCCATTACAATAGCATAAAAACAATAAATACTTAGGAATAAATTTAACCAAAGAGATAAAAGATCTCTACACTGCAAACCATAAGACATTGATAAAACAAATCAAAGAAGACAGAAATAAATGAAAAGATACCCTGTGTTCATGTATTGGAAGAGTTAATATTGTTAAAATATCCATACTACCAATGCTGTCTATAGATTCAGTGCAATCCCTGTCAAGATTCCAATGGCATTTTTTTACAAAAGTATAAATAACCGTCCTGAAATTAATATAGGATCACAGAAGACCCCAAAAAGCCAAAACAATCCTGACAAAGAACAAAGTGAGGGAGACTTGGGGGAAGGCAGAAAATGGTATTGGGATAAATGGCAATGGAAGGAGACTTGACTTGGGGTGGTGAACACACAATATATACAGATCATGTGCTATAGAATTGTGTACTTGAAACCTATATAATTTCATTAACCAATATCACCTCAATAAATTCAATTTTTAGAAAGTGAGATGCATTACATGTCTTGATTTCAAACTATATTACAAAGCTAAAGTAATCAAAACAGCATGGTACTGGCAATGGAGCAGAGTTGAGAGCCCAGAAGTAAAGCCATTATATACAGCAAACTAATATTCGACAAAGGAGTCAAGAATACTCAGTGGAGAAGAGACAGTCTCTTCAATAAATGGTGCTCTGAAAATTAGATATTCACATGTGAAGGAATGCTACCACTCTCACACCACTCACAAAAACTAACTTGAAATAGATGGAAGATTTAAATGTAAGAACAGAAACCATAAAACTCAGAAGGAAACATAGGAAAAAAGTTCCCTGACATGGGTCTCAGCAATGATCTTTTTCAAGCTCAGCAATGCTCAAGCACAAGCAACAAAATACAGAGTAAACAAGTGGAACTACATCAAATGAAAAAGACGCACAGAAAAGGAGACCAACAAGATGAAAAGACAACCTATGGAATGGAAGAAAATATTGTAAGTCATAATCTGATAAGGAATAATATCCAAAATATATATTAAAAAAACATACAACTCAATAGCAAAACAAAAAAAAGAAAACCCAAAACCAAACCTGATTTATAATGGACAGAAGCCCTGACTGGTGTGGGTAAGTGGGTCGGGCATTGTCTTGCAAAGCAAAAGTTCACCCGTTCGTTTCTCAGGCAGAGAGCATGTCTGGGTTATGGGTCAGGTTCCTGGTTGGGTGCATGTGAGTAGCAACCAGTTGATGTTTTTCTCACATTGATGTTTCTCTCTCTCTCTCTCTCCCTTCCTTCTCTCTCTAAGAATAAATAATTAAAATCTTAAAAAATCATGGGCAGAAGATCTGACATTTCTCCAAAGAAGACATACAGAGAGCCAAAAGGTACATGAAAAGATGCTCAACATCACTAATCATCAAGGAAATGCAAATCAAAATTCTCAATGAGCTATCACCTCATATACATGTGAGTGGCTATTGCTCAGTGGTTTGAGCATCATCCCACAAACCAAAAAGTCATTGGTTTGATTCCTAATTAGGGCACATGCCTGGGGTGCAGGCCAGGTTCCCAGTTGGGGGTACAACCAATTGCTGTTTCCCTCCCTCACTTTCTCACACTCTACTCCTCTAAATATAAATAAAGAAATCTTTTTTAAAAAACAAGATAAAATATACATGATGACTGCAGTAAACACTATTATATGGTATATTTGGAAGTTGTTAAAACAGTAGAGTCTAAGTTGTTATGCTGTACACCTTAAACTTACACAGTGCTGCATGTCAATTATATCTCAAAAAGATGGAATATAAGAAAAAAAGACATTATCCACAGAGTAAAAAGGCAACCCACTGGATATGAGAAAGTATTTGCAAATCATATACCTAATGAGGGCTTAATATCCAGAACATACAGAGACATCCTTAGACTCAAAAAAAACCAACCAACCAACCAGCTGAAAAATGAGCAAAGAACTTGAATAAACAGTTCTCCACAGATGATACATAAATGTCCAAGAAACACATGAAAAGAGGCTCAATGTCACTAATCATTAGGGAAATGCAAATCAAAACCACAATGAGAGACCATCTCACACCTAGGATGGTAAGGATGTGTAGAAACTGGAACCCTTGTGCACTGTTGATAGAAATGTGTAATGGTACAGCCTATGTGGGAAACAGTATAGCAATTCCTCAAACAATTAAAAATAGAATGACCATTTGATCCTGCAATTCCTCTTCTGGGTATCCACCAAAATGAAAAGGATTTGAAGAGATATTTGTACACCTATGTTCACAACAGCATTATTCATATTAGCTAAAAGATGGAAGCCACCCAAGTGTCCACCAATGAATGAATGGATAAGCAAAACGTGATATACATACAAAGGAATACTACTCAGCCTTAAAAATAAACTAAATTCTGCAGTATTCTGCAACATGTATGAGCCTTGACATTATGCTACATGAAATAAGCCAGTTACCTAAAGACACAGACTATATGCTTTCACTTTTACAAGTTGCCTAATGTCAAAACTCATAAAGACAGAAATTGTAGTGGTGGTTGCCAGGGCTGGGGAGAGCGGAAGTTGGGGAGTTGTGGTTGGTGGGTATAAAACATTAGAATTACAAGGTGAAAAGATTCATGGGGGTGGATGGTGGCGGTGGCTGGACAACAATGAGAATGTATTTAATACCATGGGACTGCATCCTTCAAAATGGTTCAGGTGGTAAATTGTATGAGTATTTTCACACAATAAAAAAGAAAAAAGTGAATTGAAGTGTTTTCCTTGGAGGTTTTCCTAGGACCACCCTTCTGGTCCTGGTGCCCTTGTCAGCCACCAGGCAGCCCCCAAACATTTATGGTCCATCTGGCTATTGTTCTCTGTGCAGGGGACACTGAGGGGAAGGCC